TAACAGTAACAGATTTTCCAGCTAATTGGACACAATCTATGTACCGGCAGCCTGGAAGCAATTGTTACTGGGTCAGGGTAATTACGCAATTAACCCTTCACACTGCCACCACCTCCTTTTTATACAGAGAAAGAGGAAACTCAGCAATACACTAGGATGATTGGTTAATCAACAGTATACCGCTATCTCTACAGACCGGTTATACCGAGGGTTAAACACTCATAGTAGCGCCCTTTTTAGAGGCAGGGATACGTAAATTGCAATTAAGAGCTATAGAAACAATTCAACACCTTCAGAAAGTAAGATTTATTACCAAAAGGTTAAAAGGGTGCAGTCCGAATATTTACAGAAAGAAGATGTAACCAATATATATATAAATATACAGAGCATAACAGCACATCAAACAGATAACAGAAAGAAGTTTAGGTAAATAAGTACTTGCCAAATAAATGCCTGGGGCAGGGGCAGACTGACAACTCTTGGGGCCCCCGGGCAATAGGGGATCATGGGGCCCCTGTGTCCTTGCCTAAATGCAAAAAAGCCTATGAAAAAGGTACCAGGGGCATCTCATGGGGCCCCCTACTGACCCCGGGCCCTCGGGCAGTGCCCAAGTTTCCAAATGGTCAGTCCGCCCCTGGCCTGGGGTTAAGCAGTTTCAAGTCTGATGAGCTAAAAAAGGGATTTCTGGTCTCGCATTGGGTTTCGTTGTTGCCGCGAGATTCTCCTTTGCTTTCTGTCCGATAGATGTTATATCGAACGGTCCTCACTTGTCTGACTCCTCACAGAAACTAACTGCGTCTTTTTCCTACACAAAATCTCTTCCCACGATGGACAAGCCAAGCCTTATTTGGCAAGAGGATTGTATAGACAGCCCCTTAGGAAGGTACGCTGAACGCATTCCTGAGGGAGGGGGGAAATCGGAGGAGAGAGACTGATTTGGGAGTTTAAGAGAAATACCAAAATGTAGTTGTTTGGAGCAGAATGGATGACCGCGCCCATCTCTGTGTGCATGATTGTGACACTGTCCTTCAGAACTGCCTCACATGCTACATTTCAACAATGACGGCAACCCTGGTGTACTTGATGTGACATCTGAATTAGTGCACTGAAATCAATATTATCGCTGCACTTTTTGCACTTTTTTACTGTGTTATGTTTCTTTATCATTTCTCTTATGGGAAATCTGTGCAAAAAAAAAGTTTTCTTTGTTTTTTGCTTATAAATTTTCAATAAAAATGTATTGAACAGTGCGTGCCAATCTGGTTAAGGTGTCAGCTGCCTGTGGAAGCAATTTGAACAAAAATATCAGTCCAGCTATTCTGCCACAAAATCATCATTTTATGGAGTGTTACCTGAATGACAAAGCCCTGAGGGTGGGGCAAAACTCATCAGGGGGTGTGGCCTGTTAGGAGCCAAGCTTGAGGCTGTTCTTGATCTTCACTGGACACTTGGACTGACTGGAGTGCATTTTTCTTGCAGCATTATTTATTGGGCTTGGATGGGCTCTGAGGATGCCGTCGCCCATAATTCAGTTCTCTAATGACTTTACAGGGTCGCAGATTGTCGGACCTCTTACACTCTTGCCTCAAGTCTCAAATTCCTAAAGCAGGAAGTTTAATAGTGAGGGCAGCATGTGGTTACAGGCTCCTTTTGTTTGCTGCATGGGGACTACTGTCAAGATGACCACTGAACCTTCCTCCATCGCTTCTCGGCCTTTTGGCTAAGATCAAGTGTAGTATCTGTTCTTATCAGTGTCCAGTGGGGGTGCTCCCGGCCATTCTAGCTTTGCGGGGATGGCTGTTGTATAGTACCCTCACTGGTATGATGGGGGTCTGGAAGGCTAGTACCGGAGGGACAGAAACCGGGGAGCGCCATGATTCGTTCTGGGGCCCTGGGAGTAATTCCTGCGGGAACACTGGAAAGACCCAGTACCTCCTGATTTGGACGGATCTACCTTGGTCTGGCCAGGGGCTGAGAAGGCAGAAAGTCCGCAAACTCGGTGCCCCCTGAGTAGACGCTCTCAGGGGTGCCACTAGTAACACCTGGGTGTGGGACCCCACTGTGTGAACATGGCACATGGTCACTGTTTTTACATTCTTTTTGCACAGCGCCCTAAGGACCAGGCCTTTTGGCTAGGACCAGGGCAATTTTTGCTACGGGTCTCAGGGCCTGGTCTGTGCACAATTTGGCACGGTACCACTTTTTTATTTTTTATATATATATTTATTTATTTATATATTTATTTATTTAATTTATTTCACCTCCCACGTTTGTCACTTTTTTTTTTCACTTATGCGTGTGTTTTCACGGATGGAGGGTGTGGGTCCTCGGGCCTACCCTGAAGTCTAGGGGGAGGATGTGTGGCCTTTTGGTTCCTTCCTCCCCTGATCCCTAGGGGGCTTTTCTTCGGGAGAGCCCCCTGACCAAGTACTGTGTGTCTGGCTTCGGCTGGACACAAGGAACGGTGGTCCACCAGGCCTTTTGGCTAGGAGGACCAATTGGGAACCTTGTCCCCGGCAGGAGCTTTGTGCCCCGGGGGATCAGGGTAAGTGGTCCAAGCCCCTTTAGGGGTAGGACACAGCACACCCCTAAGTGCACTTTTTCGTGTGGTGTTTTGCACTTGCACTTTTTTTGTGATACACTTACGGGTTTTTCGTTTATAGTTGCACGTTTGCGGACTTAAAAAAAAACAAAAAAAACTGGACCTTCCTCTATTGGGCCCCAACAAACATTGACCTTCACAACAAACATGTCACCTACACTCATGGACAAAAATCTTGTCCCCCCCCCCAGCATTTCTGTCAGATAATTCACCCAGAAAAAATGTTAAAATTACAAATGTTTCGGCATTCTCGTGTTTATTTCTTTTGTTTGTATCGGTGACACAAAAAAGTGGAGAAACAAAAAGCCAAATCTGACCCATTCCACGCAAAACCCCCAAAATGGGACCTTCTTAAAAATGATTGAGGTGGTAGGAGCTGCACGCCGCCATCATCCCTTAAAGTAATGCATATAGAAAAATATTCTCCCCTGGAGAGGGGACTTTAACCTCTTGCCCTCCAGAGGATTTACCCCCCCCCCCCTCCTGACCAGCCATTTTATGTGATACAGCGCTGCGTTATTTTAACTGACAATTGCACTGTCATGCGACGCTGCACCCAAATGAAAATGATGTCCTTTTTTCCCCCACATATAGAGCTTTATTTCGGTGGTATTTGATTACCTCTGTGTTTTTTATTTTTTGAGCTATAAACAAAACAAAGAAATTACAATTTTGAAAAAAAAAAATATTTTTGCAATGCAAAGCAGCATGCTGGTGCTGACAGGGGAGAGGCCTGTATTGTTTACAGACAGACCTCTCCCCATCGCTGTTCCTCGGTGATTGCCTGGCGCCAGCAGAGAATCTCCAGTTGGGACTTGGTGATTAACAACTGTAGCCGCCAATGGCATGCCCCCTACCCCGAAATGCGAAATCATGTATATATACGTGATTTTGCGCAGTCCTGCCACCCTGTAGCTGTAGTTCTACTATAGGGCGGTGGGGAACCTGTTAAAGGGCGGCACTAGCCAAAGATCAAGAATGAAAACATTGTCTAAAAAGCACAATAATTTATTAACCACTTGCCGTCTGCCTACTGTTTATAAACGGCAGGACGGTGTCACTCTAGGGGCGGGTTGCAGTTCATAAACGGCACCCGCATTTTCTAGTTGTGTGCGCTCCCTCAGAGCGCACAGCACCGCGATCCGGTGTTTGCTGTGTCCTCCGGACACAGTGGAAAACCGGTCGTCAGACGGGACCTCTGTGCGAGGTCCCGATCATGTGATCACTGATTGGCCAATCAGTGATCATATGCAGAGTAGTAAGCAAGATGTCACTTGTTACTACGTGTGAAATCTGTGAATGATCACAGAGGTCATATGGTACAGGGCTATTCACAACAGCCTTGTACCATGTGACAAGCTGTGACCAATCACAGCTCACACAGTAGTTCTCAATGGCTGTAAGAATGCAGACAGAGAGAAGGAGAAATGATTGCTTTTACATCCTTTATGGGTGGCGTCAACGTAATGACATCATCACGCTCGGCGTCTTCATAGGCTGCGGTATCCATGAGGGGAAAAAAGCAAGTGTTGCAGCTCCATCTTGGATAAGCATGAGGTAATATAGAAAATAACACGGAAATCACCCTGAGGAGCTTTTTTGGCGATTCAAGTGACTCAGTTCACTTCCACTGGTGGCAAGTAATAGTGAGTTAAGCTGAGTCACTTTAGACCCACCATATATATATCATGGCACAGTCACTGAGCAGGTAAGGAGAGATATACTCAACATTCAATTAACCCCTCGCCTACCGGGCACTCATACCCCCTTCTTTACCAGGCCAATTTTCAGCTGTCAGCGCTGTCACACTTTGATTGACAATTGCGCAGTCATGCAAGATTGTGCCCATATGAAATTTTTATCATTTTTTTCTCACAAATAGAGTTTTTTTGGTGGTATTTAATCGCCACTGGGCACTTTACTTTTTGCGCTATAAACAAAAAAAGTGCAAAAAAATTTGAAAAAAAAAGAAACAACTATATTAAAAATTTTCAAACAGGTAATTTTTCTCCTTCACTGATGTGCGTTGATGAGGCAGCACTGATGGGCACTGATAGGCAGCACTGAAGGGCACTGATAAGCGGCACTGACAGGCAGCACTAATGAGGTGGCACGGATATGTGGCACTGATTGGTGGCACTGATAGGTGACACTGATAATGGGTACTGATAGACAGCACTGATAGGTGGACCTGACTGGCATCACTGCTGGGCACTGACTGGCGGCACTGCTGGGCACTGACTGGCACAACCGCTGGGCACTGACTGGTGGCACTGACTGGCAGCACTGCTGGGCTGCACTGGTGGGTGGCACTGGTGGGCACAGCTGGGTGGCACTGGTGGGCACAGGTGGGTGGGCACAGGTGGGTGGCACTACTGGGCACAGGTGGGTGCACTTCTGGGCACAGGTGGGCGGAACTTGTGGGTGGCACTGCAGAGCACCAATCATCAGGGCACTGATGATCAGTGCCCTGATGATCGGTGCCGATCCCTGCTCTGACAACTGCCGGTTCTCGACAGTACTTTCCTCACGATCTGACAGCGTGAGGAAAGTGCAGCTGATAACCGGCAATGGCATTTCCCGGTGATCAGCGTGTCATTGGACACGGCTGATCACATGGTAAAAGGCCGCTGTGATTGGCCTTTTACCACGTCACGTAATCAGCCATGTCTGTAGGACACAGCGATCACGGAGATCACCGGGTGCGCGCCCCCAGAGCGCGTTCTAGGAGGATGTCATATGACGCCCACCCAGAACTGGCCGGCCGCAGTGCAGCCATCATTCGGCTATCTGCGGTTGGCAAGTAGTTAATCTGAATATATGCATCCTATTTAGTCGATGTTAAGATCATTATCCCCAGCCTCTTCTGTATTCACCACTATCCATTATATAATTCCTAGGATTGTATCCATTCGTATTGTGATGTTCATGAAGGAACAGCTAAAGAAGAAAACGATTCCACTCAGCTATACAATATGGAACTTCACTGCAGATGAATGTAGAAAGGACATTCCATTGCCTCATATTGATCATTTTTGCCATTACAGCTGTTTTTGAAGACGCCGAACGGTTCTTTATTTTAATTCTTTGATTTTACTGTGATTGCAACATGTTCACTCTGTCTATGTCAACCTTTCTTCATGATCTAAGTGATCAAATAAATACAATATTTCATTTACTTTTGTAGTAATATATTACTCCGCATAGGATTTAATTAACCACTTTCAGGCGGCTCTGCTCTAGCCAACTGCCACTTTTTGTTTTCATCTACAAATCCTGCATGTGGGTCATTAGTAGTCATACATGCGACGTGTTTCAAGATGATAACTTCTCTTCTTCAGGAATGTAATATATGACCGTAATTGCAAACTTGTATATAACCATGTAAGTATTTTAATCACCTCCCGCCCGCCATATAGTCCAATGAAGGGCGCAAGGCGGTTCTCTCGTTCTGGGAGGATGTCATATGACGTCCTCCCATTCTCACCGTGCATGCGCAGCTCAGGGAGTGCGCAGCGCAGCGATCGGTGGTGCGCTGTGTCCCTCGGACACAGCGGATCACCAATCCACGGAAAGAGACAAAGATATTGGCTCGGTCATGTGATCAGCTGTGTCCAATCACAGCTGATTGCATGTAAACAGGGAAATGCCGGTTATCGGCATTTCTCTCCTTTCGAGCTGTCACACTGACAGAGGAGAGGAAGGCCGGTAATCGGCATTCCTCGGAGGGGACATGTACACTGGTCATCAGGGCACTGATGATCAGTGTGCCCTGATGATCAGTGTGGCCCCAGAAGTGCCACCTGTCAGTGTCCATCAGTGTCAGCTGCCAGTGCTGAACAGTGCCACATCAATACCACATATCAGTGCCTACCAATGCACATCAATGCCACATATCAGTGCCCATCTGAGCTGCCTTTCAGTGCCACCCATCAGTGCCAGTCAGTGCCACCTAGCAATGCCAATCAGTGCCACCTATCAGTGCTGCCAATCAGTGCCACCTATCAGTGCCAGTCAGTGCCGCCTATCAGTGTGCATCAGTGCCGCCTATCAGTGCCAGTCAGTGCCGCTATCAGTGCCAGTCAGTGCCGCCTATCAGTGCCGCCTATCAGTGCCACCTATCAGTGTCATATATCAGTGCTGCCTTTCAGGGCCCATCAGTAATGCCTGTCAATGCCCATCAGTGCAACCTACCAGTGCCTCCTCATCAGTGCCCATCAGTGCCACCTATCAGTGTCCATCAGTGCAGCCTATCAGTGCCCATCACTGCAGCCTCATTAGCGCACATCAGTGAAGGAGAAAAATCACTTATATACAAAAATTTTATAACAAAAACTAAGAAAAAACTTTTTTTTTTTCAAAATTTTCAGTGGTTTTTGGTTTGTTTAAGAAAAAATAAAAATCCCCGAGGTGATTAAATACCACCAAAATAAAGCTCTATCTGTCACAAAAAAATGATAAAAATGTCATATCGGTACAATGTATGACCGCGCAATTGTCATTCAAAGTGTGACAGCGCTGAGAGCTGGAAATTAGCCTGGACAGGAAGGAGGTAGAAGTGTCCTGTAGGCAGGAAGGGGGGTAGAAGTGCCCTGTAGGCAGGAAGGGGGTAGAAGTGCCTGGTGGGCAGGAAGGGGGTAGAAGTGTCCTGTAGGCAGGAAGGGGGTAGAAGTGCCCTGTAGGCAGGAAGGGGGTGGAAGTGCCCGGTAGGCAGGAAGGGGGTAGAAGTGCCCTGTAGGCAGGAAGGGGGTAGAAGTGCCCTGTAGGCAGGAAGGGGGTAGAAGTGTCCGGTAGGCAGGAAGGGGGGTAGAAGTGCCCTGTAGGCAGGAAGGGGGTAGAAGTGTCCTGTAGGCAGGAAGGGGGTAGAAGTGTCCGGTAGGCAGGAAGGGGGTAGAAGTGTCCTGTAGGCAGGAAGGGGGTATAAGTGCCCTGTAGGCAGGAAGGGGGTAGAAGTGCCCGGTAGGCAGGAAGGGGGTAGAAGTGTCCTGTAGGCAGGAAGGGGGTAGAAGTGCCCGGTAGGCAGGAAGGGGGTAGAAGTGTCCTGTAGGCAGGAAGGGGGTATAAGTGCCCTGTAGGCAGGAAGGGGGTATAAGCGCCCTGTAGGCAGGAAGGGGGTAGAAGTGCCCGGTAGGCAGAAAGGGAGTAGAAGTGCCCTGTAGGCAGTAAGGGGGTAGAAGTGTCCTGTAGGCAGGAAGGGGGTAGAAGTGCCCTGTAGGCAGGAAGGGGGTAGAAGTGCCCTGTAGGCAGGAAGGGGGTAGAAGTGCCCGGTAGGTGAGAGGTTAAACAGTAGAGATAGTACTGAAATGCCAAAATGAATATTGTCTGGGTACGCCATTTACCGCCAATGTCACTGGGGTCACCATACGGGGCCAGGGATGGGAAAACCTTCCACGGTTCAAAAAACAGTAGTCTATTGAAGGACTTATATGTGCCAGCGACATGGTATATGCATAACCCAAAGGAGCATTCAGAAAAGGAAAATCCTTGTTGTGGAGTAACTGTAATAATCCCAGATGGAAAGGCCCGATATATATGCGATGGTAACAGAGAATGGTTACGATGTTACTCACTGAATGATCTTTATCCAATGATGTATAGTATATAGGACGGCAGGATGTGTCCACGTGCAGCACCTCTGAAAGTGCCTTCTTAATGTTGAACAATCCAAAACACAACGCTCCATACCCCTGACGATGTGTATTGGTGGCGAAACATGTTGGGCGGGGCCTAGCCAGTGACGTCACACACACGCCGATACTCAGGATTCTGGTGTCTGTTTGTTATGAGCTCTTAATTCCTCCTTTTTGTGAATATATGTGCGTCGTTTTAAAATAAAAAGTGTTTTTACGTTACGTTTACATAACAACATGGCGGTTCTTTGATCTTCTTCTTGGAGGGATTTTTTTGCCTACAATATTGGAGGATTCCTTCTTTGATCTGTCTTAGATTGTAAGCTCCCAGGATCAGGGCCCCCCCATCCCTCTTGTATTGATCTGTATTGTTGCTGTATTGTCTCCCGTTATATTGTAAAGTGCTGAGCAAACTGTTGGCGCCATAAATCCTGTATAATAATAATAATAATAATCTGTCACAATATGTAGAGGAGGAGATGAAATGATATTATCAATGGGACGAGTGCCAACTAAGAGCACACAGGCGTGTATTGATCTCTATTGATCTCTGGATTAATCATTGGGTGGAGGGATCACGGATGAACACTTTCAGGATTTATTGTCACTAGAGATGAGCGAATTATTCAAAAATTCGATTCGGCTGATTCGCCGAATTTGAGGGAGAAATTTGATTCGATGCGAATTTATTCGCCGCGAATTTAACTTATTAAAAGGGTTTCTAGGCTTCAGAGAGCCTTTATATTAGTGCAGAACACTGTACCTTTAATTTAAATGCCCTTGGAGTCTGCTGGGGAAGAGAAATAATACTGTCAGTCAGTATGACATGCAGATGAGTGCCGTCCATCTTAGAATCACCGCACACTTCACTCATTTGGGCAGTCACGGGGCACGAAGAAGAAGAAGAAGAAGAATGAAAAGAAGAATGAAAAGAAGAAGAAGAAGAATGAAAAGAAGAAGAAGAATGAAAAGAAGAATGAAAAGAAGAAGAAGAAGAATGAAAAGAAGAAGAAGAAGAATGAAAAGAAGAATGAGAAGAATAATAAAAAAGAAGAATGAAAAGAAGAATGAAAAGAAGAATGAAAAGAAGAAGAAGAATGAAAAGAAGAAGAATTAAAGTACAGCAAAAAGTGTATCTGCAGAGAGCTCCGCTATTTCTGACAGTTCTCTGACAGTTCCTTCACATTTACAGCGGTTGAAACATTGTATCTATTTATTTCCGAATAAAAAACATCTGTATCCTAAATGGAAACAAATAGATACAATGTTTCAACCGCTGTAAATGAACTGTCAGAACTGTCAGAAATAGCGGAGCTCTCTGCAGTGACACTTTTGCCGGCTGATCGGGAAAAATTTGATTCGTGCACCCAAAGTTTGCTAAAATTCGGATTCGATGCGAATCAAATTTTTCCTGATATTCGAAACGAATTCCACTTTGCCAGGTTTGATTCGCTCATCTCTAATTGTCACCATTGGAATTTGTGTTGAACTGAGCACTTCATGTCCTCCATAATCATAAATAATTGCTGCGCTGCCTCTAATGAGTGAATATACCACCCTATAGACGTGTTAGTGATCCACAAATCATACGTGTTCCTCTATACCATAGGTCTAAACAAGATGTGCCCCTCCTTCCCATTGACTTAAAGCATCCCTATGTTGGGGAAAAATCATTACATGTAAATGCCCTGTGTGCTTCAACCAACAAGTGTACCAAATGAGTGAAATAAATAAACAATGAAACCATCAAACTAGAAATATAGTGCACTTGTATACAAATAATAGTAAGTCCCAATCAGCGTTCAACCATTTAAAGTTCCAACATGAAATAATATCCACATCCAGTGTACTAGGTGATACAGTGATTAATCTTATCCATAAAATTCTTTGTGTTGAGTGCTCCGCTTAGTGCTCCCCCCTCCAGGGCCCCACTCACCACAAATTGTTAACCACCTGCAATGGTAGGTCAAATGGCGCTTTTAGGTGTAGCACCATTCTCCCGCAGCGAGCTAGCTGTCTGTATAGTCTTGATGCCTCTATCTGCTGGTTGCAGGTTCAATAAGTAAAAACACCTCCAGACCAGGGGCGACCTGACAACTCATGGGGCCCTCAGGCAATAGGGGATCATGGGGCCCCTGTGTCCTTGCCCAAACTCAAAAAAGCCTATGAAAAAGGTACCAGGAGCATCTCATGGGGCCTCCTACTGACCCCGGGCCCTCGGGCAGTGCCTGAGTTTCCAAATGGTCAGTCCGCCCCTGCTCCAGACCGTCCACGATACTCCTCCACCACCGTGGAAACATCAAAGGGAAACTTTCATATCATAACACTGTTTTTATTAAGTAAAAAACACTTAAAAATGCACTTACATAAAAAGCATGTATCTGGCACTTTAAATCCTGGGACACAGCAATCCCTTCTCAAACGACAAGTGTAGCTCTGTCAAGCCCCATCCTACGCGTTTCGTTATATGACGTCATCAGGAGCACGGCTGCAGTGCCCCACTTGATGTCCACATATACCCCCCAAAAGGTCTGTAAACCATTTTTATGGTGTATTCACACAATTGTCTACTAACACACATTTGTGGTATTGCTAGCAGCAGCCAGTGTATTCATTTAATCCTCTGCGCAGGCTACACTTACACATATCCTCTATTAGTTTGGCTGATCGCACTCATTTATTGCAGCGTTGTGTTTTGGATAGTCCAACATTAAGAAGACCCTTTAGATGTTCATATGATTGTTTTTTATGAAGAGATGCGCACCAAGTGTATGACAATATTGTTACAAATTATTTATTCAGCTTTCTTTTTGGTAGCAGCACTCATGTGGTCACGTTCTGTTCTTCCTAAATGCAAATCATTTTTGTTATGAAGCTTCCATATTGTTTGGATATCGTAAATCTTGCATTCAGTGACTCTTTCCACCACTAGCAGGCGTTGGCTTCGTCCAGTAGGCTGGATTTGTCGGGTTTCCTCTCACAGATCCAGGGAAGGAGATCAGTACACGGAGATAGTACGGGAGCTTTCCCCATCTTCGCACACTTTGTAGACGGAGTGTTTGCCAGAGACAACCTGGAGAGAAGAAGGGACACCATCAACTCTTTGTGTCAGTAGATGGGAGGAAGAGGCTGCTCTGTGTTTTCTACTACCTGATATCTGAGCGGTCCATTAGGGATAAGGGTACAAAAAGCTTCCCAGGATCCAGATCTTCAAGCCAATCATTTTAGAGCAAACGGTGTACCATGCCAATGTGCCCCCACAAAGGGTGCCCCTCCTGCACACATCTCCAATACTAGGCTGACGTTG